TCAGCCCTGACACCTCCTGTTCTCAGGCCCCTCCCAGCCCTGACATTCCCTGTTCCAAGGCCCCTCCCAGCCCTGACATCCCCTGTTCTAAGGCCCCTCCAAGCCCGGACATCCCCTGTGTTCCAAGGCTCCTCCCAGCCCTGACCTTCCCTGTTCCAAGGCCCCTCCCAGCCCTGACATTCCCCTGTTCTCAGGCCCCTCCCAGCCCTGACATCCCCTGTTCTCAGGCCCCTCCCAGCCCTGACATCCCCTGTTCTAAGGCCCCTCCAAGCCCTGACATCCCCTGTTCTAAGGCCCCTCCAAGCCCGGACATCCCCTGTGTTCCAAGGCTCCTCCCAGCCCTGACCTTCCTTGTTCCAAGGCCCCTCCCAGCTCTGAGAGTCTACAAGTAACTAGAACTGCCTGGGCTAGGCAATGAATATAAAGTAATGCTCAGTTACTAAAACTCCACTTTCTGTCCTTCAGTGAATTTTGCAACCTTGCAGTCCAATTGACTTATCTTTTCCTGTTTATACTCAGGATTCAGAGGCTTAACCTGGCCCAGTTCTCACCTCACAGCTGCTAGTTAGAGGTCACTCAGCAGCCACCTGAACTCAGGGCAGCCCTCAGCCCTTTCCAGGATGACATCCGTGGGGTCAGTCACTTTGGTCAGGCTCTGCATCACTTCATGGGAAAAGTCACTATGGTCAGTGGGCAAAGTAACAGTGAAAAGGCTGGGGCCTGAAAGCTGTCCTCCCTTGTCTCCTTGGCCTTCTTTCCCCCAGGCCACCGTGGCTTTGTGAAAAATTGGACTTTCACCGTAAGAACATAAGCCCCAGGAAGCCAGACACTGGTGCAGTGCCCTCTGAAGTACCTGCCCGTCTATATTTAGGATTAATAATGTTGCCACATGACAGGGAGCATATGTTCTCCATGTCTGGCAAACTAGATTGGGTGTGTCCCAGTCCTGAAAATAAGCCAGGTCCCAGAAGGGAGGGCTACAGGGATGTACGAATTTAATCAATCTGAGTGTGGGAAGCCCTGCGGGGGGGACTTTGGCCTTTTTTTCTGTGAGGTAGAAGGGGTGTTTGTGAAACTTTGGGGGATCGTTGGTTATCAATCTGTGCGAACCACCTCACCCTCTTAGTACCGTGAGCATAGAAAAGGTCGATCGGATCGTTGGTTAGAGAAAGGGCTGGGACAGCGAGAGCCGCCGGATGTCTGATTTTCCACCCCGGCCCATTCGGGCAGCGGGCGGTGCCTTCTTGGGCGGGGGTGGGGGGGGGTGTATTCTGTTTCCCGGCCGGCTGGCCAGACTGTGTGCGAGGTGGGGTTTGCCCCCTAGAGGGCGCCTGGTCTCCGGCCATACACCCAGCGGCTGTCCTCTGTCCACTACCCACTTGCCCACTGCCCAGGCCCCGCAAAGTCCTTTCAATGACTACTGAACAGACACGCTTCCTTCTGATCCCATCTGATCCGATCCGATTCTCCAGACTGGGGTCCAGTCCGAGCCACCACCAGGCAGAGGGTCACGACAGCCTGGGCAGGGCGAGGCACGCCAGAGCCGGGGGTCGGGGGCCGAGGCAAGGTCCTCCGCCCTTCGGCCCCTCCTGCTCCCTATCCTGCCAGGAGGAAGCACCGTGAGTAAGACCCCCAGGGCCAGAAGACTGAGCCGGGCTGCCCACTAGGGGAGCCGGGGCCCTGGCCCTGCTCCTCCTCCTCCGCCCTCCCTCCCGCCAGCCCCCATCCTTCCCTATCCCATCCCATCCCACCTCGGTGGAGCCAGAGCGCCCAAGGGCAAGGGCCTCGCCCATCCCCAGAGTCCAGAACCCGGAAGGCAGTTTTTGTTCAACGAATAAGAAAAAACCAAAACAGAAAAGTTTATAAATGTCCATGTCCGATATTTCGTCAGTTGAAAGGTAACCGCTGTGTTATCTACACATATCTACACATATCTACAGTATCTACACCATTTGCAGATATGCCTCTGGGGTTGACTTGCCTTTACTTATGCGGCAACTACCCAGAAAGAGGGGGCGGGGTTCGCATCATCTCTGGGAGAAAAATAAATATAACTTCATTAAACATTTGACCCAAAGCTTTGGCACTAATCTGTGTACAAAGAACAAGAGATCCGATCCCACGGCAGCTGCAGGGAGAGACACCCCAAAGCCATGGGAGGCCAGGGGAGGACCCTCTGCCGCCCAGAGCTCCACCCACCAGAGGGGGAGGGGCTGAAGGGTGCTTTAGTCAGACAGGAACACTTCCACAATCCACTGCAAAAAAATAAAACCAAACAAACAAACAAAAAATACCAAAAAAAGGTCAAAGAAAATCCACACCTGGGAGAGCCAGCACACATGTGGTGGGGTGGGGAGCCTGGGGAAACCTTCAATCAAACCAGGTGGCCTTCCTCCTCCTCCTCCTCATCTTTTTTTCCTCTGCCTCCAGGGGCCCAGAACCTTGGGGCCTGAGCCTATGCCCAGTAGATAGCAGTAGCGGGGCCCTGTGGGGGGCCTTGTGGCCGGGGAAGGGGAGACGCTGATCAGAGGCCCTGAGATGGCAGAGGCAGCCTGGGGGGAGGGGGAGGGAGGAGAGCCCTGGCCATGTTTCCTCCTCTTTCTACACAAAATAGGTCATTGGTGGAGATGATCTCTCACCTTTTTTTTTTCCAACTAGTCGTTCTGTAATAAAGGCAAGTATGAGACAATAAAGTACAGCTGGTACCCAGCAAGATAGCTGAAGATCACAGATCAACCCGAAAAGGGAATTTTGAGATCAGGAAGGCAAACACCTTATTTTTACAGAGGAGTAAACTGAGGCCCAAAGAAGGGACTGGTGGTGCAGAGGAAAGAGTACTGGATCGAGAGTGAGAAAGCCCAGGTTCAAATCCAGCCTCCACTGTCTAACCTAGGCAAGTCACCAGTCCTTGGGGGTGAGGGTGGAGCAGAGCGGTTCACCTAGGTGACCTCTAGGGTCCCTTCCTAGTCTCCACCTTGGAGCCTCTGAAGGGCCTGGCTCTTCAGTACACAGGCTGAGGACTAGAGGCAGAGTCAAGACTTGGTTCAGAATTTCATCAAGAGGCCCATGATCGCCTTCCAGCTTTGGCCCCGGAATCCTAGGATTACAACCCAATGTACCAAACTCAGGCTTTCCCTTAAATTCAGATTTTTCCCCCCCAATCCTACCAATAAAAATACATGTGTTCAAACACAATCACAGAATACCTTCAGATCATCTGGTCCAAGCCTCTCATTTAACAAAGGGGAAAACCAAGGCAGGGGAGACCTGAAAAATGGAGCGGGTCCTTGGAGAGGTAGTGAGCTTCCTGTGGCTGCAGCTCCTCACAAACAGGCTGGATGACCATTTGTCATGTCTGACAGGATTTCCCCCCCATATATGGATTGGACCTCAACGGCCCCAAGGTCCCTTCCAGCTCCAAGATTCAATCATTTCTTCACCGAGATAGTAAGAAGGACAGCCTGGCACCTTGCAAAGGGCCTTGGATTAGCAGTGCTATGACAGCCAACTTCTACAGCCAGGCTGTGCCACACTCTCTCTTTTCAAATGGAAGCTCCTTGAAGACAGCAGTTTTACCTTTGTCTTTCTATCCCTAGTGCGCAGCACAGGACCTTTAAGGCCTGTTAAGCCTCTGGAAAGAGGGGCAGATGGACTCTAGGCTCTCTGGGCCTCAGTTTCTTCCTCTGTAAAAAGGGGACCCGTAGGTATCTCCAGTATATTTTGTCTCTAACTCGCTTGCATGTTGTTTCCCTATCAGACTGTGAGTTCCTTGAGATCAGGAGCTATTTTGCCTCTTTGCATATCCTCAGCATTTAGCACAACTCCTGGCACATAGTCGGTACTTCATAAAGGCTTGTTAACTGAATAAGAGAAGGCAGGTGAACTATGGACTCTCTAAGCTTTCCGGGCCTCAGTTTCCCCCTCTGTAACGCACCCTATCTGCTGGCCTGAGGTCCGGGGCTACGAGCAACAAGATGGCACGGCTGCTCCAGTCGCTCGTCCCTTCCTAAGGGACAGCCATCACTTCCACCAAGGCTGCTACCTCCCTGCAGGACCCGCCCCGGAGCTTTCCCTCTGGGATGCTGCTTGCCCCACATGCTGGAGGGGGGATCCACAGCTGGCTTTCCCCACCTGGCACGTGGTTGGGGTGCGGAGGCGGGGGAGTCGGCCAAGGCTGAGCTAGGATCTCGGGGACACAGCATCCCAGGGGAAGAGGGGGTGGTGCGCTGAGGGCTGGAGCCCTTGGCCTTAGGAGGGGAGGCGGCTAAAGAGGTCGGGACCACTAGGGACACTATGTCCCGCGTGGGAGAGAGAAGGCTCAGAGCTGGGCACCAGGAGGTGAGGCAGGTGCCGAGTGGAGACCGCCAAGAACGAGGCGTCCCAGGGAAGGAAGGCTCACAGCTGGTTCCCCAGGCTCGGGAAGGGGAAGCTAGGGCAGAGGGGTTCCGGAACCGGGGACCCCCTCGGAAAAATGTGTAAGAGGTAAGGGACAGGCAAACCATCATCCTAAAAATGGCAACTTTCCCACTTCAGCATAAAAGCGCCCTCCGCGGACAGACACACGCTACGGAGCGGAGGGAACGCACACACCATGCTGCACACCGTGTTCGTGCAGCTTCGGGGGAGCTGCGGGTCAAAAGCGGGAGCAGGGCTGGGCGGCTGGGGAGGGGGATTGGAAGGGGCACCCTGGGGCTGGAGTAGAAACCTGGGCTGGGCGTCGGTGGGGAAAGCTTGGCTGGAGGGAGGCCCCTGGATAGAGGATGAGGTTGCTCTCACAGAGAAAAGCTGGGGCCGCAGAGAGGGCCTAGGCTGGACCTTAGGGTTAGGCCTAGACAGGGAGAACTGGGCCAAGCGGTTGAACTGAGGCCTCACTTAGGGAGGTGCCCCGGGGAGGCGTGTGGGGCTCAACCGGAGAGACAGGCGTGCCAGCCAAGCTTGGGGTCGAAGGCGGGGGACAGGATCCAGGCTGGACGGCGTTGCTGGGCTGGCCGGGGTCGGGACTAGGGAGACGGGTTATCTTGGCCCATAGTCGTAGTTGCCCGGAGCCCCGGCGGAGGAGTACATGTTGGCCGCCGCCGCTGCGGCCGCAGCCGCGGGGTTCACGTGGTGGTGATGGTGGTGGTGATGGTGCGGGTGGGGGTAGCCGTGGCCCCGGATGCTGGGCAGAGGATAGGGCGCCGGCCGGCTCTTGGCCCCGAGGTAATGGTCGTAGGCGGCGGCCGCGGCCGCGGCGGCTGCCGGGTATTTGTAGGGGTGATGGTGCAGGGGCTCCGAGGCGCTGGGCGCCTCCAGGCGTAGTTCGTGGTGCGGGGGGCTCGGCCTGCCCCCTGCGGTAGCCGTGATCTGCACCAAGCCTCCTGCTCCCGGGACGGGCAGCGCCGGGCTCAGCACCCGGGACATGAGCTGCTGGTGTGGGCCGGATCGGCGTGCAGAGGGGTCCCGCTGGCTTCTCGCTCGTACTCCCGCCGGCTCTCAGCAGCGTCTAAGAAAGCGAACCAACAATTTTGGTTCTTGGATGGAAGGAGGGGGTCACCATTTTGCCCCGTCCTCCAGCCTGTCACTAATGGCCTCCTTTCTGACCTGGAACCCTCCTCTGAGCCCCTGTGCTCCCCATCCTTAGCTCTGCTTTCCAGTGCACCTTCTTCCTGGCTAGGATTCCCCCCAGCCCCACTCCACGCCGTGCCGCGGCCCTTTCTTGAGAACCCCCCCACACACACACACAGTGCGCAGGAGCATCCTCCTACCCCGGGCGCTAGTGCACCCCTTCCCTGGCCGTGATTTACACCTCCCTCCATCTCCGGAGATCCACTCCCTAACTGGAAACATCCTTCCTGCTTTGCCCCATCTTCCTGGGCTCCAATTTCTTCAGCCCGGAGCCTCCTTGCCCTGAACAGCAAGGCATCCTTTCCCTAACCCGGAACTTCTCTCGCTGGACCCAGTGCACCCCATCCCAGCCGGAAATCTCCCTTGGCCTTCAGTACCACAGTTCAGCCCCTCCATGGCCCGGAGCTCTCCGCCCCAACGCCCATGCGCCCCAGGGCGCCCACTCTCCAGCTAGGATCCTCTACCGGCGCGCCAATGTGGCCCCACCCCAGCCTGGAGTACCTCCGCCCGCCCTCCAAAGCATGCTCTCGGCGAGCCTTCACTGCACCCCTCATCCAAGAATTCCTCCCCGCCTCAGCTAGGAGCCTCCGATCCTTCCCCCGCCCCCAGCGGGCGTGCGCACACACTCTCCCAGTCCACCGCCGCCCCCCCCCCCCCCCCGCTCAGCTTTTAGCTTACAGCCCGGCCTGGGCCAGAGTTAACATTTCGAAAAAGGACCCGTGAGCTGACTTTGTGACTGGAGCCCCCGCGCTGGGGAGGCTTGGGGGAACATTGGGGGAGGGGAAAGGACGAAGACAGGGCTAGGTCCCGAGCACCCTGTGTGCCGGGGGCTTCTCGGGAAAATCTTCCCCCCCTTCCTACCCCCCTCCTCCCCTTCCAGCCTCCACTTCCCTAAGCCCTCGGCCTCCCCAAGCATTTTTGCCTGAGGCGGGAAGAGAGGCTAAAACGGGGTTAAAAGCAACACTACCCCCGGGCTGAGCTGTTGGGTGGGCGCACGTGGCTGCCCAGAAATGCGTTCCTAGACCCGGCTATTCTGACGGCGGGGGTAAATGGGGCCGCATTGACTGACAAGTGTGTACACGCATGACATCTCTGCAATTTGCGCTGCCCTAAACAAACACAGCCTCTCTTTATGGGAACGGGCCCCGGAGCCGCCAAGGCTGCAGGCGGGCTGCGGCAACAGAGCTCCCGCTCAGCCGCAAAGTGTTTACAGCAGCTAATGGAAAAAGGAACTCGCCCGCTCGCCCGCCCTCCAGCTCAACGCAGGCGCAGACGCGCGGCGGCCACAGACGCCCCAAGAGGCCCTTGAAAAGCGTCTTGGGGAGGCTCCAAGGTGCTGCGACCTTAGGGAGAGGACGGGGGCGGGGCTAAAACAGTCCAGAGGGAGGGGTCGGGGGCCGAGGTCAGAGTGGGAAGATTTAAAAGCTGGAAGGACCCTTAAAGAGCATTTAAACCCGAGGAGGGGTAGTGGGAAGAGATTGAGGAATTCTGGTTCCTACTCCGGCTCGAGCACTTATCGGCTGCACTCCCTATCGGGGCTTTGTTATGTGGAAAGTGCTTTAGAAAACGTAAAGTATCAGATAATTGCGTTGTTAGCACGAGGCTGAGAGATGAAGTGATTTTCCCAAAGCCGCGCTGTTTAGTGTCAGAGTCGAGTTTTCTGGCCGAATTCAAGACTTTTCCGCCCATGCCACCCCTACCTCCGGGTCTTTTCGGGGCCATTCGGCTCCTGCTGTTGGCTAGAAGACCCTGCCAGTCTATAGGATTGCTTGTTTCCACCCTAGCAGGGCAGAGAGAAAAAGTCAAGACCAAGAAAGCGCAGGCGAGGCCCACCAACGGGAGCTGAGCCTGGGGAGAGGGCTGGGGACAGGGAGGGCGCCCCGCCTACCTTTCTCAGCCCCGTTCTGCTGGGCCGGCGAGGCCACCGGATTCCGCGAGCGGGCGAAGGCGCTCATAAGAGGCAGCGTTCCTGGCCGGTGGGTACGAGGCCTGCAGCGGGAGACAAAGGCCAGGAGGTCACCGGGCTGGGGTCCGCTCAGGCCCCGCGGGCTTGGAGGGGGGCGTAGTTGGGGTGGGCACTCACCAATCCTCAGGGTCGCAGTCCCGAAAGCCTTTGGCGAAGGGGTTGCTAGCGATCTTGAGCTGCGTAATCTTCATAGGGGGAGGGGGGAGAGAAAGGGAAAGAAATGGAGTGGGGGAGGCCAGAGGGAGAAGCCCTTCTCCCTTTCCTCCCCTCCCCACCAACTTCCCGCCTCCATCGGTACTCCCAGATCCGAGGATGTAGAGTTGGAAGGGGCCTTTGGGTTCACCCATCTTCATCGTTACACAAAGAAGGAAACTGAGGCCCAGACAAAGGGAGGGACTTGTCTAGCGTTATACAGGAAGTAAATTACTGAGCCAAGATACTAACTGAGGTCCCGGGACCTCAAATCCTGACTCTGCACCAATTACCTGTGGAAACTAGGAAAATCGTGAGCTCCTGACGGGCCAAAGGAGGGTTTGGACTATTGATTTCTGAGGTCCCTTCCATCTCTGTGACGTGTTAAATGTGGCTCTGCCCCGTGCTTAGATTTCCAGGGGGAGGGACGACAAAAAGACCTCCCCCACCTCAGTTTCCCCAGCTGTCAAATTCCTACATAGCTCTTGTCTCCCCGAGTTAGACCGGAAGCCCGTCCATAGAGGGACTGTTATCTTGTCAGTATCTCCAAAGCCTCCACAGTGCGGGGCTTGGAGTACGTGCTTCATAAATTGCTGGGTGACCGGTTCCTTGGTTGACTGAAGTCTGAAACCCCTTCAGGTTTTTAGGGTTGGGGAACCTCAGAGATCATATTATCCACCGCCCCCCCAATATACAGGGGAGTCATGTGATCGCACAAGGTCACACTGCTAAGCCACCCAGGAGGAGAGGGAGATGCTAAGACTCGGTGATCACCACTCCCAGCAGAACTTGGCGCAGGACAGAGGCGCGCAGAAATTGGGTTGTGGACCAAGGGGAGGGCTCCCCTGAGCGTGTACCGCAGGGGGACGGGGAAAGGAGAAAGCCCCGGGAAGGGCACTGCTCGTTACCCAGAGAAGCCGTGATCTCGTTGGATAAGAGGACGTGGCCCGGCCAAGGGGCGGGGGCGGGGGGCAACGAAAGAAGCTGAGCGGAGGCTAGGCTAGACTGGGCCTTGGACAGGCGGCTGAAGGGGGCTAGAGCTGGGGGCCGCCTGGGGAGCCGCGGGGGGCCACTCGGGGCCCATGGGCAAATCTGCGGATAAGGCATGTGATTGCGAGTTTCCGGAATGGGTTGAAAAACAAACTTTAAGCCGGGCAGTGACAGTTCCAGATTTAGAGGTCAAAGTGATAGAAAGCAGGGGAGACAAAGCAGCTGTCCGCGGCCGTCAAAGGCCGCCAGGCCAGCCGAGGCGGCCCGGGCGGGGCTGCCTCCTTAAAGGGCCAGCCTTCTGTCCTGCCCATCCTCCTGCCCTGCTCGGTGCAGCCTCCTGCCTAGCTCAGCCTCCTGCCCTGCCCTACCCAGCCCTGCCCCGACGGGGACTGGGACCTCAGCTCCTCCACGTGCTTTGGGAGTCTTCCAGGGAATCGGTGCAGAGTCTTTTCTGTTGCTTTTCTCTGCCCCACCGGGCCTCTGCCTTCCCTCTAAGTGTTGGTTAAATGGCTCCTTCCACCCCCCGCCCGCCCCAGCTCCCAGTCTAGCGAAGGTGACAGTGTGAAACAGAGACACTACACGGGTGGCAGGTTGGGTCTGGGAAAAGGCCCTGGAAGTTTTCAGCAAGCAGATCTGGGCTTGGATCCTAATCCTTTCCCGATGACTTACTGTGGTATTTGGGACAAGCCCCCTCTTCCTCTCTGGGCCTCGGTCTCCCCCTCCCTAAAAATAGGCTGTCTTGGGCTAACTGGAAGACCCTTTCTATCTCTCACTCCTGAGCCTTCTACTTCCTAGGAAGGGCCACCTCCCAGCCCAGGAGCCCTTTTGGCCCGGCTTTTCCAGATGCTGCCTGGTCTGGAGGACCCGACAGAACTCAGCACCGGAGCAGAGGAGAAGCCCTGGGCTCGCCTGAAAGGGCCTACAGCAAACGGGAGCTCAGGACCCAGGCCCCTCCCTCCAGTCCTTTCCTTTCCAGCCTCGATCTTCTCTTTCCTCCCCTAGGAAGGAGGATGCCAGTGGGGAGAGCCCAGGCCACAAGGGGAGAAGAGGATGAAGCTTAGAGATAAGGCCCAGGGCAGGGGTCGGCTTTGTCCAAACAAACTTTGAGTGACACCTCGACCCCCTACGTCAACAGGTCGGGAACCCGAGTAGAACCCGGGTCCACACCCGCTAAGGAGGCCCCAGGCGAGGGGCCAAAGGAGATAGGAGCCGGCTGCTGGCCCAGCCTGGTCTCACTCCCTTCTCCGAGAGCCTGTCTGCCCCAGTCCCTGCAACACAGCTGCTCTGGAGTTTCAAATAAATGTTTGTTATATGATTGACTGGGAAAGAGGCAGCAAAGACGGATCCTCTATCCGCCACCAGACCCAAGCCCTTCGGGTTTGAACAAATCATTAAGTTGTTCTCATTTCCTGTACTTTATACTGGGGTTCGAGGACTAGGGAGAGGGCCGAGGTACAGGCCTGAAAATGGGTCGGAGCCCGCCTTCTCCAGCTGCCCTCCCACCAGCCAGGCCTCTTCCCAAGGCTATTTCCTTTCCCACTTAAGTTCCTTTTCTTTCCCCACCCGCCCCCGGCTCCTTTCCTTTCCCCTCGCCCCTTGGGAGACTACCCCTAGCTGGGGGCCCTTCCTCAAGTCTGGGAACTCCAGCAGCAGCGAGGAAGGAGGAAGGCACCAGCCCTCGGGACCAAAAGAGACAGGCTTGTCCAATGAGGCCCAGGTTCGGTCCTTCGACCTCCCCTGCCCTGAGCCCACCCTAGCCCTAGTCTAGAGCTGGGGCACCCACTCAGTCAAAGCTGCTACCCAGCCTTAGTTTCCCCGGGGAGCTTTTAGGGTCTGCTACTCCACCCACCCATAACCCAGCAACACAGCCCTAGAGCCCTGGCTGCGCGATCGCCCGGCCCCTCACCCTGTGGTTCTGGTAGGCCGTGACAGCTGTGAAACGTGTCTCCTCAAACACGAAGGTTTTGAAATTCTCCTCGGCGTACTTTTCGCTGTCCTTGCGTGGATCCACATAAACCACATGGAAGCGGGGTTGGTATCTGTGCATGGAGTTCAAGATGATCTGAATGACAAGAGAATTTGCAGGTCAGATCTCCAAGGGTGGCCCGGCAAGAGGCTAGGGACTGGAGGGTAGGCTCAGGGGACTGACCGAGGCAGCGAGGAGCCTGGCAGGGGGGTGGGGGGGATGGGGTTCGAATCTCACCTTTGCTGCTCACTTGCTGTGTGATCCAATGGTCATTTCACTTTTGAGCCTCATTTATAAAATGAGGATAACCTTAGAGACCACATAGTCCAACCTGGTCATTTTATAGCTGAAGAAACTGAGGGGTTAGATGACTTGCCCACAGGCTATATATATACACACATACACATACACATACATACACCTTATATTATATATGTGCCTTACATTATATACATACCTTATATTATACATGTATTATATATTATATATACCTTATATTACATATGTATTATATATAAACATATAAAATATATGATTTGTATGTATACATATAATTTGAACCTAGGTTCTCTGCCACCAGACTCAGCACCCTTTTCATAGAATAGTGGGTTGTGATTAATCCCGTAATATCTACCCCCCCAGGGATGTGAAAAGCTAAGGAGGCCATGTATGAGTGGAGCTCTCAGCTGGCGCTGTGCGAGGTTCTGGAGACGCTAAAGATAAAAGCAAAAACAACTAGCCCCTCCCCCTGAAGTAGCTTAAATACAGGGAGGCGGAGGGAGAGAATCGAAACAAGGATGAAAGAATTCAAGCAAAAACAATAGCACAGTGAAGAGGCTCGAAGACTCGCGTTTCCAATCTCTCCTCTCCTGCCTTCTTACTAGGTGGATGACTTTGGCCCCTTTGCTTCCCAGGGCTTCAGTTTCCTCCTCAGTAAAATGAGGGTTCTACCAGACCAGCTCTTCCTTCACCTGTTCCTAATCCTGGCCTCCTCTAGCAGTCTGGTGAAGTCCATGGACCCCTTCTCAGAATGATTTTTTTTTAAATTTATAATGCAAGGGAATGCTCGTGAAAGTCATGATGATTTTTTTTTCTCCTCCCCGTTCACAGGCGCTCTGAAATCTATCCACGGGTTGGTGTACCCCAGGTGAAGAACCTGTGGACTAAACGCTCTCCAGGTTCCCTCCCAGCTCCTCCAATCTTGGGTGGAGGAGGGGTAGAAGTATTTGAAGCCTGAGTGTATGGAGGAGAGACGCTTATTGGTGCCTAAACTCTCTGAATAATATCTTTGCTTCCGGGTGGAGACATAGCCCCCGGCAGACACAAGCCTGGGCCACTGCCCTCGGCTCGGAATGAGTTTGATGGGCGCGAATTTGTTTAGGGGTCCTAAAGTTTGGCAGCCATATTGTCTCGAACTCTGGAAGTGATGCCATGAAGCCTCAGTTGTCCACACCCGCATCCCTGCCTCCCTTCCCTTCTGGGTCCTAACGAATGGATTCCTAGCCCCTGGACGCTGCAACCCGAGGACCTGTGACAGGCGCGCCCCAGAGTCCCCTCAGAGGATTGTCAGCGCCGAAGAGCTCCACGACCTCCCAAGAACTATCACTTTTTAGTAGGGCTCCGACCAAGCCGGATGAGAGAAGGGGAAGGGAGGTGAGCCGAGCACATCACTCCATCTCCCCAACTCTTCAATCCCTGTACGCTTCAGTCCATTCTTCCCATCCCCACCCCACTACCCTACTAGCCTCCTCTCACTAGTCCTGCCTTCTGAGGTGGTGGATGTGGGGGTGGGATGCGGGCAACTGGGGTCTCCCGGGGGAACATAGACTGAGGACACTAGACGCTCAGAGCCCCTGACTCTGGGCTGCCGTGGCCAGTGAAGATGGACAGGAAAGTGAAAGAAAGAGAAGGGAGCCGAAGATAGGGTGTCTACACCAGTAAAATGAAGTGTCGACACAGCCTAAGACACACCCCGAGCTACCAGCGGGAGAAAAGGAGTAACTCGAAGGAAAGACTCCACTGCACCTCCCCTCCCTCCACTAGGAGTCAGGAAACCGGGGTTCTGAGTCTAGTCTAAAATTCCGTCTTCCAGAGGCTCTTGCGGTGACCCTGACTAGCTGTGTGACCTTGGGCAAATCCCTACCCCTCTCTGGACTTCAGTTTCCCCCGGCTGAGGGGTCTGGGTTAGAAAGTGCCCCAAACAGCCTTCTTCAGACCCCTGCTGCTCCTATCGAAGTGAATGGGGCTCCCTGGGGAAATGTCGCTGGAAACAAAATTTCAAGAAAATGTCATTGCATTTTCCCCTCAAAATATCGTCTAAGAAAGCTTAGCAGAGACAGCTCCTCCGTCACCTTCCCCAGAGGTGGGCTGGTTGTTCAATTTTCAACGTGAATTCTCACCTCGGAGATGGGCAAACGCTACAAATCCGGACTGGAGGGACCCTTGATGGTTGTCTGCACTTTTAAAAGTGATAGTGAAAATGCCAATATGCAGATTCAAGTGGGGTCTGAGGATTTGTTTTATTAAGAGATGAATGTTATAGGCATTTACAGCACTAGCTCTGGTGAAATCCTACATGCAACCAAATGATGTATTTCCTGGGGCAGGGTACCAAGGGCAAACAGGATTTTGATTTCCTCACTTTGGGTGTAAAATGTTCCTACTTTCCAAGCCATTCTCTCTCTCTCTGTCTCTGTCTCTCTCTGTCTCTCTCTGTGTGTCTCCTCTCTGTGTCTCACTCTCTTTCTCTCTTTGTCTCTGTCTCTCCATTTCTCTCACTCCTCTCTCTCTCTCTCTTTCTGTCTCTCTCTGTCTCTCTCTCTGTGTCTTCTCTCTGTCTCACTCTCTTTCTCTCTTTGTCTCTGTCTCTCCATTCTCTCCTCTCTCTCTTCTCTTTTCTGTCTCTCTCTGTCTCTCTCTCTGTGTGTCCTCCTTCTGTCTCTGTTCTCACTCTCTTTCTCTCTTTGTCTCTCTCTCTCCATTTCTCTCACTCCTCTCCTCTTTCTTTTCTGTCTCTCTGTCTCTCTCTCTGTGTCTCCTCTCTGTCTATGTCTCACTCTCTTTCTCTCTTTGTCTCTGTCTCTCCTCTCACTCCTCTCTCTCTCTCTTTCGTCTCTCTCTCTGTCTTCTCCTGTGTCTCTCTGTCTATGTCTCACTCTCTTTCTCTCTTTGTCTCTGTCTCTCCATTTCTCTCACTCCTCTCTCTCTCTCTCTGTCTCTCTCTGTCTCTCTCTGTGTGTCTCCTCTCTGTGTCTCACTCTCTTTCTCTCTTTGTCTCTGTCTCTCCATTTCTCTCACTCCTCTCTCTCTCTCTTTCTGTCTCTCTCTGTCTCTCTCTGTCTCCTCTCTGTCTATGTCTCACTCTCTTTCTCTCTTTGTCTCTGTCTCTCCATTTCTCTCACTCCTCTCTCTCTCTCTCTTTCTGTCTCTCTCTGTCTCTCTCTCTGTGTCTCCTTGCTGGGGAGTGGGGTGGAGAGTTAATCTATATAGCCCTTGTCTAGTTCAGATATTCCTTGACTGGACACTTTCCTTTGGGGCACTTCCAGGCCACAGCAGGCCTGGGAAGAGGGGTCAAGCCTTCCTAAGGAGCCATGGGACTTCCCCAACCAAGCATCAGCAACTCACCCTCTCTATCCCACCAATGGCAATAACAGCAACTCTCTGAATGCAACAGCAGCTCAGTAAAAGCCTGAGCCTCCAAAGCAGGGAAGCCTGATGGAACTTGACACACTGGAGCTGGAGCAGGCTCACTCTCTTTGTGGCCCAGGCTCTTCTCTAAGGCTATTGATTGCAGAGTAGTTCCTGATCTGCATTGGTGGAGTTTCACTGGGACTTCCCCACATGAATGAAGCCATAGTTCTGGACAAAATAATCACAACTCTAATAGCTCTCATTTATGCAGGCCTCTGAAGTTTGTAAAGCCCTTTGTAAGTGTTATCTCACTTGATCCTCACAACAACCTTTCTACTGGCTTTTGTTATACCCCTTTTACAAATAAGGAAACTGAAATGAAATGACTTGCCCAGGGTCACACATCTAGCAAGCATCAGAGGCAGTCTTCCCGACTCCAAATCCAACACTCTATCTGCTCTGCCAACTAGCTCCTAGCTCTATTGCAAAAAGCCATCATTTTCTTCAGCCCAGCACATATCTCACGTCCACAGAACACTCATTGAAAATGAAGGATGGCAGGGTAGCAGTTTGTCCCAGGACTGATTTTATCTGCTTTCCATGGCACAAAAGGAGGAGAGAATAATAACACCACCTATTACCGTATGTAGCCTCTTCCGCTTTACAAGTAACTTTCCCCATGAGGAGCCTGTGAAGCAGGGAGTCTAAGTATTGTTATCCCAGTTTTACAGCTGGAAAGGGTCTCAGAGAGTGTCTTACTCTCCGGGGCTTAGCTGGGAGGAAAAGTCAGGAGGTAGACGGAGCCGATGTCACTACGCTGCCTCCCCCCACTTCACCCTAGTGACTGGGTCTGGAGGAGGAGCCCCTTCAATCCGGCCAGAGTTAGAGGCTACCGTCCAAAAACAACCGAAGCCCCTCCCCCTCAACGTCCGTCCCGACTGGAGACGCCGGGAGGGGAGAAGTAGGCTACTAGTGCATGGGAAGAGGTGGGACGGGGTCACTCACATGGCCATTGTCATCCAGCAGGTTGTTGGTGAGTTTGAGCTTGTCAAAGGACACGATTTGCTTCATCCACTGGGCGCCCTTGGCTGGGGAGTCTGGGTGGTAGTGGACCCGGCCTGGGGTGGCAGGGTCTGCCTTCCCTGCCACCAGCCATGAAGAGCTGTGGAAGGCGTACCTAAAGCCACAGAAATACAGCGGGTCAGAGCTGGGAAGAACAGAAAATGTCAGGGCAGGGAGGGAACGGGAGAACAGAGGAAGTCCAAGCTGCAAGAAATATTGGAACACAAAATTTCCCAGCTGGAAAGGACTTTAGAGTATAACCATAGGAACATACATGCAGAGCTGAAAGGGGCACCAGAGGCCATCTGGTCTATTTTACAGATGAGGAAACTGAGGCACAGAGAGGGAAGGGGATTTATCCAAGGTCACCTAAATTACGGAATATCAGAGTTGGAAGGGACCTTAGAACATAGAGTTTAAAAACTGGAATGTGGTGTATGGAAGAGAACCTTAGAACAGTAAGTCCAGCCCTCTGGTTTTTTCCAACCATGGCTCTCAAAGGCAGAGTCGGCTTGACTCAGATGTCCTATCTGACTCCAAGGTCGTTTTCTTTGTAGGCCACTGGCTGCCTCCTAGGGAGGCAGGTGGGCAGGCCTAGGGCCTTTCTAAGAGGAGTAGGTGGGTCCCGCTCTCCTCAGGACTTCTACAGAACAAAACACTTCCCGTTTCAGGCGAACGCGAGCCAGACTTTCTTGGCTGGCCGCAGGTTCACTCAGGTTCAGAGCTCTGAGGTCCGGACCTGAGTCCACCACGTCAGCTTCATTCGCTAACCCTGGTTGCGGTCTCCCTGCCTCTAATTGAACAGAAAGTCTCTATTTTCTCTGGGAAGGGGAAAAAAAACCCAACAACCCGCAATGTATGATGGAAAGAGCCCAGGTCTGGATTCCAGTCTAATGCTGAGACCCAAATGTAAGAGTGAGGACTCTCTGGGTTTCAGTTTCCCCACCTGTAAAACGTGATCAAGTGGGGCTGAGTGGAAAACACCAGCTGGCCTTCACCGAGTCTCCAACTTTCTCCTGGACCCTGACAGCTCGTAAGAAAGAGGGGTACTTTGGGGTGGGAGCCCAACTAAGGTCGGGCGTGGCTCTCTCTGGGCGCCCGGAGCAGCTCGAAGACCGAGGAGACAAAGGACTGGGAGTTTCCCCATTAGCATTATTAATTGCTATTAATTGCTAGGTCGACTGAGTAGGATCACGGCCCCAATCTACTTCTCCCTTGGCCCCACCTTCCCCAGGCTTTTCGTGTGTCTGAACATGCAGGGCAGGGGAGAATGGGAGGTCGCCATCTCTTCCCCCCCCCCCGGTAATTGAGGCAAATGGGTTTATTGCTTTAATTATCCGAGTAATTGCCTCCGTTTTCAACTTAGCTTGGGGAGCAGAGGCAGCCTGAGAAGGCGGGAGGGCGAACCAGGAGACTGATTTCTCAAGGTCCTTCCATCTTCGAGTTTCGATAAGTGTGTGTGTGTGTGTGTGTGTGTGTGTGTGTGTGTGTGTGTGTCGTCAGAGTGAATCTGAGCATGCATGGATGTGTGTTTGAATAAGAGTGTACTTAGGCTGCATCTGCCACCTTGGTATGTTTGAGTGACTATAATGTGAAACTGGATATGGCTGAGTGAGTGTGTTTGTGTCTCAGGGAAGGAGTATGTGGGGATGAAGGAAGGTGTGTGAACGCAGGAGACTATATTGAGTAGATTGAGCAGGGCGTCACTGGGTAGGTTTCTTTCCCACAGGACCTCGGTGGCTCAGGGGCTGCACTGGGCCTGGGGCTGAGCACTGAGCTCTTCCTTGGCCACCTTCCCCTTGGAAAGTGCGTGTGCGTGGCTGCCCTATGAGAGAGGGCGCCTGTGCATGTCTGCGTGAGCTAGGGTGAGCCCATGTGCCTGTGCGTGGGCTGGTGGGCGCCAGCCTTGGGAGAGGAGTAATAGGCCCTCTCTGGTCACCTTGGAGCCCGGAGGAGGGCCAGGTTGCAGGAGCCACCTAGCAATCAGCGTGGCTGTCTTTATTGCCCAGGTTAATTTCCCCAGCGCTATTAATAACTATTAATCATCCTCGTCATTCTCAGCCCAATAACCAGGCACTGCCGAACCGCCTGCAGGTGAATGCCCGCCCAAAGATTTGGGGCAGAGTGAGAACTCCCTCCCCTCGGGGAAAAGGTCAAGGTTTTGCTTCTCCTGGAGACAGCCTGGGCCTCCCTCTTCCAAACACACGCACGGGAACCATACACACAGGAAACAAAATCAGAGAAAAAACAAACTCACAGATGCACACACAACGACACGCACGCTAATAAAAAAAAAAAAAGCACAGGGGGAAAACCCCCCAGCGAAATCGAGGCACCGGGGAAAATGTTCCCGAGCCATGTACATTCCTGAAAACTAGAACAAAAGATGACCGAACTGTCTTGGTCTCTATCTTATCTCAAGAACAACGAAGCAGGAAGAAAACACACGTTCACACTCGTAGAATAAACTCACAACGAAAACCGACGACACAGAAATGCCCGCTCGAAAAAAAGCCCCCGAGACAGCATCCTCCCGGCAAGCTCACAGAGATAGGCGCCCTCCGACAAGAGGAGACTGACGGCCTAAGAGAACCCACACTCCGCTGGAGGAAGCAATGCGAACAATAGGGCAAAATCCCGAAAGGACTCGCCGACATTCACGGGGGGAAGCGCGGGACAATGTTGTCTCATGGGGAGGAAACTCACACTCTCCAGGACACGGGCTCTCGCGCTCGCTCACACCCAAGGACACGGACACATGCCGTCGCACACGGGCACGCTCACATCAGAAGGCGCCCACACTTCCGACATTCATTCCCATCCATCCATGCAGACTCACACGGACACAGGGACTCTTCAGGCGAAGGCCCACACACACACATTCGTTCATGCAAGTTCACCCTGCGCATGCAGGTACACTCATTCTGAAGGAACGCATGCACGTACATATCCGTGCAGAAACAACCGTCACATACATACACGCAGGCTCCTTTGCAAGCAGTGCAGGCTCACGCACACTCCTGCAGCAGGGCTCTCATGGGTTACCCGCCTCCCCCAAAAAAAGCCCACGCACATGTACTCACCTGTACCGTTTATCGTCCACCGGCACGAAGTCCATAAGCAGCATGTAGTCGGCCATGGGGTCCATGCCGAAAATCTTCACCTGGAAAGTGGGGAACATGCGCCTGCGGGGGGAGACAGCGCAGGGGTCAGTGGGGGTGGGGTGGGGTAGAAGCGCAGAGGTCAGTGGAGGGCAGAGTAGGTCAGGCCAGAGGATCCCTGAGGGACCAGTGGGCAAGTTCCAGGGTCCCTGTTGGGGGCTACCGGGGCAGGCTCTGACTCTTCCAGTTCAGCTCCCCCACTCCAGCCCCTGAGGGGGCAGGCGCCTTCATTTCCGGGTCCCAACCCAACCCGGGGGACTAGGAGAGACTTCTGCCCCGGACCCACGCAGCAAGGACTCTTTCCTCGTTGCCGGAGACCCACAAGATGCTGCTGGCACTGGCTCTTTTCTCTGGCTTTTCTGTTAGTCAGCTTCTCTTTTCTCTGTGTCTCCGTCCCTATTCTCTGCCGGCTTCTCTGTCCCTGGGTTTCGATCCTGTCTCTCAGCCCGTTGTGTCTCTTCAACAAAGTCAGCGGTGCTTCCGAAAACGATTGAAATGCCTACTGGATTCTCTGTCTCTGTCTCTGTCTCCCTTACCGTCTCGGGGCTTTCAGCTCTTGGGTCTGCCTCTCTTTTCTCGGCCTTTGTCTCTCGTCTCTCTGCCTTTCAGATTCTATCTTGTCCCAAGGCTTCAGCCTCTCCCACTTTATGGCATCTCTTTTTGTCTGCTTTTTTCTCTTTTGGTCTCTCTGTCTCTGTCTCTGTCTCTCTCTGTCTCTCTCTGTGTGTGTCTCTGCGTCTCTCAGTCGCTGTCTCTGTCTCTGTGTCTCTCTTCCCGCCCACCCCCCTACTTCCCCAGTCTCTGTTTCTCTCTCTGTTTCTATTGTCTCTCTCATTTCCCGCTCTCATTCGTCCTCTCCCTACACAATTCTCTGTCTTTTTCTAAGGCCCGGGCGACCTGGACAAAATTCAAGTCAATAGATCTCACCTAGTCAAGTCCAAGGTTCTATTTTAAAACGCAATCGATTTGTTTCTAAGGCCAAGTCTCCGCTGAGGAAACGAACTGGACTGTCAGGACCCAAGCCCCGTCCCCCCCCCCCAACTATTTCTTTTTAAATACTCTGGAAAACGAGGCCAATGAGTTCTTGGATTTTCTGATAATTGCCTCGAAATGTCCCTGAGCTTGCTCTTCGTGCATCTGTCCCCCTCCCTTACCACCAGTATTACCGTCCTCTTTCCGAAGAGTGATTTGATTTCGACTTCCCAGGCAGCGTCTCCGAAGCCGTAAGCAACGCTGTTGGAGTCGCCCTCCCTCCCGGCCCCGATGCTCCTGCAGGCCCCGGACCTGAGGCTGAGCACAGGCCTCCTGGAAGCCGAAGAGCAGAGCCGAGTCTGCGGGGCAAGGACTCCGGGCCACTCCCCTGTACTCGGAAACCTTCCTTGGCTGGCTTCTGGGGACCCGGGTTACCCGGCTTGCTCGCAGATGTGTCTACACTTTACTCCTCCGCTCGGGGAGTGCCCTTGGACCCCCACATCTCCTTCGGGAAACAAAACCCATTCGTCCTGTGTTGCGGGAGAAGGGGAACCCCTCGGAAACTACTGAGAAAGGCAGACCTGAAATTATTCAGATCGTCCAAGCAGAACTCCGATTACTTTGGTTGCCTTTCTTCTCTGGATAATTCCAGTAAAAGCGGCTTTTGGCTTTTCCAGATATTTTCCTAATAATTGTCTTAACTACCAGCTTCGATTTCCTGGAGACTTGGCCTTCAAAAATAAATTGGAAGGGGTTTGGAAGTGATCTATAGAGCCCGAGGTTTAACGACAACCCGGGAGGCCGGAAGTTTTCCTTAGATCAAAGTTAAAGCAGTGTGAATAGGTTTGCTCCCATTTTACAGAAAAGGAAACTGAGGCCTAGAGGGGAAGTGGCCCCTGTTATGCTCAGGGCATGGGGACCACCTAGTCCAGGAGAGCTGGGACCCTTCAGCCAGGTTAGGCCGTATATACTCGTCCTCTGAGCTTACCAATTCTTTGGATAATTGGAGGAGAGAAGATGGGGGGGGTACCCAGATAGGACCTAACTGTTCTTTTCTCCCAACCGGACAACAGAGCCAACAGGGGATGCAGGAATGCGTGGATGAGACTTCGGTTTACCCAGCTCCAGAATACTGTTTGCCTGCGTGGCCGTGAGGTGGCCTGTAAGCCGTCTTTGGACCCTTGGGTGAACACTAGGTGACTGAGAAGCCTTTAAAAACCCAAGGAGGGTGCCAGTCCCAGAGCTCGGGTAGACACGAAAGGCAAGCGGCAGCTCCAGGGGGGCTAGGGAGGGTATGGCCCAAAGATAACAATAATCCTTCCCATACCTACAGGGTTTACAAAGCTCTTTGGGAGAGAGGAAATGAGAATAGGACTTCTTAGTCCAATCTGACAACTAAAGAACCCGAGTCTCCGAGAGTGGATATAGCTAGTCCGAGATCAGACGATCGTAGGAGCCGGGTTTTGAGCCCAGAACCCCTAACACTGAGCCCCGAACCCTTTTGGCTGTAGGGCGCCTATGCCTCTCCAAATGGGTTCCGTTTCTTCCGTTCCAGCTCCACCCTGCAGGTGATCCAGAAAGCTCTATTGAGTCCGCACTAGCTCGCCCTGACCGGACCTCGCTCAGGCTCCCCTCCCTCCGCCTGCCTCCTGCTGACCACCCCTCCGGGTGGCTCTCTGGGACCTGGGCTGTAAATCGGAAGTCCTCCCTCCCCCATCCCCTCCCAGCAAACCCCTGGCCCTGGAAGATGCCCCCACCCAGGGACACGGCTGGGAATCAGAAGCCAAAGAAGGCATTATCTGGGACCCCCGGAGCTCGGGGCTGGGCAGATAACAAAGCGATTAAACAAACTGTCCAGCCTCCCGGCCAAGTGTCCTTCAGGCGCCCTCTGGGCACCCCGGAACCCCTCCTAAACTGATGCGGGCTTCCCTCCTCCTGCCAGCACCTCGAGCCCGGCTCCCCAGCAGTCCTGGGAAGACCGGCTGCTCTCTGCTCCTCGGTCTCGTCTCCCGCCTCCCGACCCCGGGTCTGGGAATCTGGGGAGGCCGCAGAGGGAGGCATTCCGAGGGGGATCGGGACCCCCAACGCTACCGCCTTCATTCTCAGATGGAGAGAACGAGAGTGAGGGCGCAAAGAGGAGCCCGGGCTCCGCTCGGGGCCCGCAGTTTCGTTTTGTTGTGTCTGAGGCGGAATTTGTGTGCGCCTGTGTGTACATTAGACACAACCCAAACACACGCCTTTGTCTGCTGGTCAAATACAGTTGCGTGGCAGAACTCGTTTCCTAGTCCGCTCTCTCGCTCTCCCCCCTCATTCTGTCTGTCTGCTCCGGGGCTCCTGCTTTGTCTCTGTCTCTGGGCCCTCGGGTTCTTTTCTTCACCTCCTTTTGTCCCTGTTTTTCCCCTTTCCCTTGGTTTCCTTGTCTGTCCTGCTCTCTCTGCCTCTCCCTCGGCACAACTGTCTGCTCTCTCTCTCTCTCTCTCTCTCTCTCTCTCTCTCTCTCTCTCTCTCTCTCTCTCTCTCTCTCTCTCTCTCTCTCTCTCTCTCTCTCTCTCTCTCTCTCTCTCTCTCTCTCTCTCTCTCTCTCTCTGGAATTGTCTGGTCTCTTTCTCTTCTCTCTCTTTCTCCTCCGGATTTACGGTTTTGTTATTATTCTCTGGCTCAGTCTCTCTCAGTTTCTCTGTTCCTGACGCTGTCTCGTCTCCGTAAACAAATCTATACCCATTGGAAGGTGCCACACAAAGTAAAGTGAAAAGGAACCTCAAGATTCAATGCCTGGTCTACATAATTCGGGCTAAGAAATCTTCTCTTGCCACCTACAGATAGTGGCAGCTTAGCCAAAGCATCACATTTTGATTTAGGGTTAAATTTGGGCTTTCTTTGCCTCAACAAGGTGGGTCATTCGGCATGGCCGCCTCTTTGCCCTTATAGACCAAAACTTTGACTCTCCCAGCCACCCCCCCCATCCCGAGGCCTCTGTTCTGAGGGCACCTGGGCTGAGTCTTCCTGAGGTCTAGACCCAGCCGTCTGGTTCTGTCTCTGTCCCAAGCCCAGAAAGGCCTTGGGAACTCATTGGGCCTCTCCTGACCTGGGGGTTTGCTCCTGGCCCTGGGGCCTACTCTAAGCCTCGGCCTGACTGGCAGCAAAGAACTGCCTGGAAATCGGGCCCTCGGCTACCTCGGTGGCCGTGAGGCAGCTGTCTCTCGGCCTAGGCCCGGCCCAGGCATAATAAGCTGGAAACCGGGCTCTGATCACGCCATTAAGAGCCTCAGGAAAACTCTCTTCAGACCTATCCTGCCCGTTCTTCCCTCTGCTTCGCTGACCCAGTGGCCCAGTCCAGTGACCCACCTCAGGACTTGAAAGCAGCTGCCCCAGCCCGAGAGGCTGGAACTCAGAGAAGACAGCGGGAAAGGAACTCAGGGAATAGCCGCCGAGATTCCGGCCCCACAAAATCCCCTTGTCCCAGAATCGGGACTCCCAGGGAAGTGGGGCGGGGGCGCCTCCCTGGGTGGCTCATTGCTCGCCCTGAGTAACACTTGGGCAAAGACTCTGTGGGCACTCTTGACTTCCCTAAAGCCTGCACTCCGCAGCCCGCCTCTCTCCTGCTGCGGGTGGGCAGCACAGCTGAGACTGCAGAGAGGGCGAAGCCGAGGGCCTTGTCGCCTGAGCCGGGATCGCTAGCATTACATGGATCAGGAGTCGCTTCTCTGGCACTGAGCAGAAGCTGGGGTGGGCTTCTGAGCCGGGCCTGGGATCCGAGCCTCAATACTGGCCCAACCCCGGGTGCTAGGAGGACGCCTCCCAAACCATCCAGGGACGCCGGGACCTCTGCCCTCCTAGGCTTCTACTACCCTATTCGGCGCCTCATTCCCCTCACTGGCCAAACACAACACAAGTCTGTTTATAAAGAGAGCTCATTTAGGGGATGGGGGGGAGGTAAAGAAAGAAAAGGGACCCCTGCTACCTGAAGGTCTCCGGATTCCCTGCCCTGATCCCAATTACCTCCTCAGCTAGACGCAAGTACAGTACTAGGCTTTTAAATGACATTAAAGGGGAAGGGGCTAAGGGGGGGAAGGTGGCCCTCTGCCTTGCACATACACACACACACAGAGTCCCTTCTTTGCTCAGAGACTCAGTTTACCAGTCTGTAAAATGAGTAGAGCTGGCCTCAGCTGATCTCCGTAATCTCAATCCCTTAAATACCCACGGGATATGAGGTTAAGGGGAAAGGGCTTTGGAAAGGGACCACGGGCCGGGGGCCATCCTCAGCTCGAGACAACTGGCCACGTGGAGAGAAACAAGCCGGGGGAGAGAGAGGAAGAAAGAACCCCGGAGGGAGGGAGGAAGGGAAAGTGGGGAGGGAAAGAAGGTGGGAGGCAGCCCTGACCTGCCGGCTTTGGTGACGATCATCTCGGTGCCCAGCTGGTTGAACTCGTCCCATAGAGCCTTCATCTCCAGCTGCACGCTCACGTTGGCCACCTTAGGGTTCTTCTTCACCGGCGCCTTGGTAGCCACGGCCCCCGGGCCAGGCCCGGCCGAGGCACAGCTGGCCCCGGCGCCCTCTGGCTCGCCGCCACCGGCCGGAGGGTTGGGGCCGCCCGGGCCCGAGAAGGGATATCCGTGGGGCTGCGCGGCGGCTCCGGCGGCGCAGGGATCGTAGCGTGGGGGCGCCTGCGGCTGCGGAGGCTCGTGCTGCCCGTAGGGGTCCCCAGCCGGAGAAGGCGAGAGGTGGTATCCCCCGGAGGCGCTGAGGCTGCTCAGGCTGTTGGCAGTGAAGGCTGTAACATCGCAAAAGTGAGAGAGCTGCGTAAGCCACGGGCTCGAGATGGTGGAGATCATTTCCCGGGCCTGCGGGCTCCGGGCACCGGGCTTCCGCCCTGGCCCTGCGCGCCGAGGCTGGGCTACGGAGCAAGGAGGGAGCGAGGGAGGCTGCGGCGGGTCTGGGGCTGGGGCTGAGGCTGGAGCCGAGCTGAGCTGAGCCGAGCTGAGCTGAGCCGAGCTGAGCTGGGGCTGGGGCCCGGCTGGGGCTAGAGCGCCCGCCCTGCGTCGAGCCGCGCCGCCCCCTACCCACCTACCCACCCACTCCGCCTACTGGCGGCTCCCCCTCCTGCCGCGGCCGCAACCGCTGCCTTCTGGGCGCCGCCGCCCGCGCATCGCCGGAGCCCGGGCTCGGCTCGGCTCGCCTCCGGAGCCCAGTCAGTGTGCGGAGGTGCCCGCTGCTTTGCGCCCCGGGCCTTCCCCGGCTCCGGCTCCAGCTCCGGCTCCGGCTCCCGCCCTGGCTCCCTCTCGGGCCGCCCAGCTGCGTAGGGCCGCGCGTCTTATCTGCTCCCGAGGCCTCCCCGCCCGCCCGGCCGGCCACCAGACCGGTTCCGATTTCTCCTGGAGATAAAGTGCCGCAGGTAAACGTGCCCGCGGCCCCCACTCCCTGATTGACAGCCCAGCGCGCCCTTTCCCGGCGCTGCCCGGGGCACCCTGGGCGCCCAGATGGGGAGAAGCGGTGCCCCACCCAACCCCCGCCCGGGCTGAGCCCTCCTCCCCTCGCCCGCCCTCCGTCCCCGCCCCCTCCCCTCCCCCATTCCGCCACCCCAGCCCTGTCCGTCCGGGCCCCAGCCCGGGGTTCAGACAATGGGATCCCCCGGCTTTGCACTCCTGGCCCTGCTTGCCAAGCCGATGTCTCCGACTCCTCTCTATTCCCCCGCGAGCTCCACAGGCAGGGGAAGTTATCGAGAGAGAGGGCCCCTCAGACCTGCGGCTCCTTCTCGTTCTCGATGCCCCTCTAACCCACGATCTCGACCCGGACCTTGGACCCCAGCTTTGGTTTTTCTTTCCTCTTCGAACTTGTCTCTCTCTGGCGCTCTCGCTCTCTCTCTCTCGCTCTCTCTCTCGCTCTCTCTCTCTCAATGTCCCTTTCCCAGTCATTTTTTCCTCTTCTTGCCTCTTTCTTCTTTTTAATCTCTGTGTCTCTCCCTTTTCCCCTTTTTCTTTGTTTCTTGCTTGCTTTCTTGCCACCCGGTCTTTCTTCCTACTGGTCTTTTTCTCTTTCCTTTCTTTCTTCTAATCTGGTCTTTTTCTCTGTCCCCCCCCAATTTCTCTTACTTTTCTTTTTTCCTTTTCTTTTGTTCTCTTTCTTTTTCTTTCCGTTTCTCTCTTCTGTTTTTCTTCTTCCTTTTTCTCTCTTTCCTTCTTTTTCTTTCCTTTTCTTTCTCATTTTCGTTTTTTCTTATTCTTATTTATTTCTCCCTTTCTTTTCCCTCTTCTTTCCTTTCTCTCTTTTGTCTCTTTCGTGGTCTCCCCTGTTTCTTTCAGTTTCTTCCTTTCCTCCTCTTTATTTCTCTCTTCCTCTTTTCTTTTTCCTTCCATTCTTCTTTCTAAACTTGCCTTTTTTCTTCCTTCTCTTTTTCTTCTCTACCCTATACTTTTCTTTTTCCTCCTTTCTAGTATTTAATTTCTTTCTTTTTCTTTCATTTTTCTTGGTTCTCCCTTTAAACCCCCCCCTTAATTTCTTTCCTCTAAGCTTCCTGTCTCGGCCTTTTTCTGCCACTTATCTTTCCTCTTTTTCTTCTTTCTCAGTTCTTTCGAGTACTTTGTGTGATTCTTTTTCTGTCTCTCTTTTTTCTCTCTCTTTCCTTTTCCTTTCTTCTCTGTTTTTGTCTTTCTCTCTCTTATTTTCTTCTCTCCTCTATGCGCACAACCAGGCTGTTTCACCACTCTCCTGTCTTCCTGTGTCTGCTTCTCAGATCCCTGTCTATGTGTCTGTCTGTCTGTCTGTCCGACTGACTGACAGTCTCGCTATCTTTTCCTCCAGGGAGCGGACTCATCTCCCCTGCCTCCCCAGGCATCTCTGCGGGGAAACCAGCGAGTGTGGCCTGGGTGGCCAGGGAGCCTGAACCGCCTCCGGCCGGCTGGTAGGAACCTGTATGGGCCGTGGAAGGCACGACTTCCAAAACGGAACAAGATCACAAGTGCCCCAGCGGGGTTCTGTGTCGTTCTCAATTAAAAGTCCTTGTTCAGAAATCCTGTCTGACTCCTCAAGGAGGCTGGAGGGGGGGGGGCGGTGAGGGGCTTGCGTATCTATATGGAGGGAGTCCAAAGCCCCTTGCCCTGAGGGCTTCTATTCTCTCTCCTCTGCCTGGGGCAAGTCTACTAGGGTTCGACCTCCGCTTTCATCGCTTTTCTAAAAATTCAGGCCGGGTCTACACAGCACCAAGTCCAGACGGTTGGTCAATCACTTGGCCAGTTCATGCCCCCCCAGTCTCAGCCTACCTCCTGTTCCTCGAATAATCGGGGACTGTAGCAAGAGCTGCCGCCGGACCGGCTTGGCCGGGTGCAACTTCGACCCCTGTGTCAGGGTAGTCCGGAGGGAGTCTGGCCACTCCTGGGCAGCGCCAGCCTGGGCGAGGCCCCCCACCCGGAGGAAATTAGGGCCCCCTCACCCTGCGGGAACTAGAGCCCCCCACCCGGCGGACGCGAGGGGCCCCTCACCCAGAGGGAGAGAGAACCTCCCACCCGGTAAGAGAGAGAGGCTCCCAAGCCAGCGGGCTCCGGCCGAGCTCTGCCTGCCTTACCTTCCATGTCCCTGGTGACTGTGCTGAAATGCATCCTCTGCGGGGGGCCGCCCGCTCCTGCTGCAGCCTTGGCCAGGCCCGGGGCGGCCAGCTGCGGGGGGCCCAGCGCCTCCCGGCTGGCGCGCTCCGCCGCCGCTACGATCAGAGAGGCGATACTAAACGCGTTGGCCTTGGGAGACAGCGGGCTCTGCTCGTCCATAGGGGAGCCCGCTCCGGCGGCGCCACCCCCCGAGTGCGCCCCGCGCAGCGCTCTCGCCTCACCAGCCGGAGGGGGTGCGGGGGGGGGAGGGAGGGAGGAGGTGGGGGCGGGGGCCGAGTGGGGGGGGCAGATGCCACTCAGAGCTTGCTCCAAGCAGCCCGGCCTCTGAGCTTACTGCCCCAACCCCGCGCAGCGGCCCAGGGCCACTGCTCCCTGGGGTGGGAAGTGCAGCACTCGGAGCTTGGAGATGCACCGGGAGTCGACGGTCTCTGGGGCGCAAAGGCTCCTGCCCCTCGAGTATCCCTGCTCCCTCCCTACTCCGCCCCCCCAATATAGCTAGTTAATTGTCTCCCCACACCCCGCTTCTCCCTACCCCTCTTCAAGAACGAAATCCGTTCCTACTCCCCTCAATCCCTTTTCTCCCCGAAAAATGTGGCTACCTCCAAGGCCCCCGCCCAAGTAGTTCGCTACTTCTGCCCCCTTCGCTTCTCCCTGCTCCGACTTGCTCACTTAAAAGATCTCTTCTCCCCCCCCCCCCCCCCATGTAGTTAGCTCCTTCTTGCTGTGAAAAATGGCCCCCTCCCGTGCTGGGATGTGTAGGCCAGATCTGGGCGCTGGTAAGGTCAGCTAGGGTCCCCTTCCCAGCGGGGAGGCCATCAGAGGCCGGCAGTTTACTTAGAGCCTCTCAATCCTCAGATCCCAGGCCCTTTGGGTCCGCTTGGAACTCGGTGCCGGGTGCGGCTCAGGAACTGAAGTCCCGAAGCTTGCGGGGGCCGGGTCTCCCTTTTTGTGCCCAGCTGCCTTGTTCTCCTTCTTCCCACTTCCGTCCCTATCCAGCCTCCCGCAGCCCCCGACCTCTGCGTGGGTAGATGCACACAGACAACTAGGCAACTCCATTATCCTGCCCATGGTCCCACACGGGGGCCGCAACACCGCTCACCAAAGCCGGCCTCGGTCACACCCCAAGGTCTTCTTGGCAAGGTTGGACACTGGCTCCTAGGCTCCAATGCACCCACAGTCAGGCACTCAGGGCTTTCCTTAGACCTACTCACAGAGCTGGACACTCACAGGGTTCCACAGTCACATGGTCACACAATTGGGCATATAATTGCACAATGCCACACTCCTCAGCAGCACAACTGGAGACAGTCTGTCAGAGTCCCTCACACCACCGTGAGCAGAGCCACATTGGCCTGGTCACGCTGTTGTCCCCACAGCCCCACAAGCTGTCCTGAGCTGCCAGCCACACTCTTGCACACACAGAGGTACACCATGTTGGGGGGCACACCCACAGTTCCACATTGACAAGAGGATCCCGTAGACCTGAGGAATGACTGTCCTTAGCAGTTCACAATCTCTCACATAGTTGTGTCTGCCTATGGTCCCCCGCCCCCAGTCCCAGGAGCAGTGGCACACACACAGGACACACACTGGATTCCCCATTGCAGCTGCCAAGAACGGCGCTGTCTCCTTCCTACATCTATACAGGTCCCCCTCTTCCTGAAAATGGGCCTCCAATGCCTTCACTCACTGGGAGAGAGAACCCCAAACCCCGGCAATCAACCAGGAGCTTGTAGCAGCCACTGAGTCCATCTCCAGCATGTGAAGGGTGTGTACTGAGGCCTCTGTGAGTGTGTCCCTGTGAGTGTGATGTGATTGTCAGTCTGTGAAACAGTCAGGGAGTATAAGGGAGTGTTATAGGATGTGAGTATGGAGCAATGTGTGGCCATGTGCCTGCTTTGGGGAAGCTCTTGAGAGAGTGAGTGGTAGTTTGGGTGTAACTGGAAGGTGTCATCACAAAGTGTGAACCTGGAGCAGTGGGGGATGACGGGTCCAGGTGGGCTTGTGTCTCAGGGATCGGGTAACTTTGTGGGGGGGGGGGTTGCCAACATGTTGGTGCCTTGGAACATAACACTGGGAATGTATATGTGTAAAAGTGAATGTCACGACTGTGTGAGGTGTGCTTCAGTGTAGGACACTAGCAGGTCGCTTCCAGTATGTTTGGGGAAAGGTGGGGGAGGGGTGGATTTCCCAGCTTGATTCGGGTTCCTTTTGAGGGATGTTCTCTTTGCAGCAGGCCTAGTTTCCAGGTTGAAAATAAACTTAATAGTAAAAGAGGCCAGGCCAGATCCCACCAGGCAGGACATCTAGGGCTAAGCCTCCCAGGCAGATCCAGGGTAGGCTCCCACTACCACTCTGGCTTAGGGCCTCAAGAATGGGCTCAGGAATGTGAGCTCTGCTTTTTTCTTTGTTTCCATCTCCATTTCTGCTTTTCTGGCTATCTCTACCTCTCTGTGTCTCTCGGTGTCTCTGGTTCTACTGTCTCCGTATGTGTTTCTGTTTTGGCATCTGTTTCCATATCTGTTTCTCCCTCTGTTTCGGAGTCTACCTGGCTCCTTGTTCATAGGTAATGAACTCAGGAGAGTGCAATACAAGAGGGGGGAAGGCGTCTGCTGATTCTCCAGGGCTGGATTTTTGTCCAGATGACCAGAAACACGAGGGCGCTGGCAGTCGTGGGCTACTTCCCCACAGAATCCCTGCAGCTTTCCGCCCGCCCGCCCCCCAGGATCCCCTGAAGCTCTACCTATCTCCATGGAGCTGGATGCTCCCAGCTAGCTATCCTGAGCAAAGGGAATTGGCTGACTCTGGCTTCCTTTCTCCTCCAGAGTCCCAGGAGATGTCCAAGCACTGCCGATATACAGTTCCAGAGTGGATCCCTAAGGAACAAAGTGTCAGGTAGGAGGCAGGCAGGGAGGGCTGGGAGGTCCGATGGGAGCACCAGCCTAGCCCAATGGGAGAGAGGGCCTAGGCTAGGTGGCTATACTCCCTGTTCAGGAAGGGAGCTTGAAAAGAAGAGAGAAGGGAAGAATGAGAAAAAGGAAAGGGAAGAGAGGGAAAACAGAGAGGAAAAGAGAGGAGAGAGAGGGGAGGGGGGACAGAAAAGAGGAAGAAGAAGGAAAGGGAAAGAAGGGGAAGAAAGGGGAAAAGAAGGGAGGCAGAGAAGAGGGAAGGGAAGGGGTCAGAGAGAAAGCAGTGGAGAAAAGAGAAGAAAGGAGGAAGAGAGATGACTGCAAAGGGAGAGGGCCACAGGGCGGAGCCCCTGCCTCTCCCGACCCCAGTTCCCCTCCCGGTCCCCCAGACACGTCCTACATCCTCAGCCTGCCCTGGGCGGGGCGTACCCAGGCGGAAAGCCGGGCAGTGCTTCCCGGTCAGGCGCACCCTGGTTCTGGGCTCAGCAGCTGCTCAGAGGCCCCAGAACACTCTCAGGAATAGCTCAGCCCCTCAGGCCCTCCCCTCAGTGTGGGGTGTCCGAAAGAGCCCAGCCTGTCTTGCCAGCCTAGCTGTCTCAGCTCCCTGGGGCCCCGAAGTGTGTGTGTGGGGGAGGCAACCACTGAACCATGAGGGAGTGGGGAAGGGGGTGGGGGAAACTTGGTCCGGAGGCCGAAGTGAGGAACCTGTAATGTAGAGCAGGTTCCTAGGCTCATTTCTACCTTCTTCCCCCTGGCAGGGCCCCTCCCAGGCCCAGCCCCCTGCTGAGCTCCTCCTGCCAGGCAGTTCTGGGCCCCAGGCCTTCTCTCTGCAGCCTTTGGGGGCCTCCTGGCCCTCTCTCTCCACCCTTCTCTATTCTGCTCTCCCTCCTATCGACCGCTTCTCCCTGGCAGCACCTACAGCAGCCACTCTGCTCCATTGCCCTAATATCTGCTCCGTTCCCACAATCTTGTCTCTAATCTCTCCCCCCCTCCCTTCTCTCCCCAGTATCTCTCTGCCCCTGTGTTCCCACTATCTGCCTCCCCAACATCTTCTCCATCCATTCAGCATTCCACTCTCCAGGATCCACTCCATCTATCTCTCTCCCCGGTATCTACTCCCTCCCCACTATCAGCCTCCTCTCGCCACTTTCAGCCTCTTCTTTTCCCCAATATCTTCCTACCCCACTCTTTGCCTTCTCCGGTTTGGCTAGGCTGAATCTCTCCTGACTGGGCCAGGCCCTTCCGTGGGGATCTAGGCCCCCTGGGCCTCGGGTTGGTGCAGCCCAGGGTAGGGGCCTGTATCACCCATCTGGACTGTGCAGAGGTGGTCAAGATGAAGGGCGGGCAGCTGCGCAAATGCGGGGCCCCCAAGAGCTCGACAGGCCCTAGGAAGGAAAGTGTTCGCTTTGCCTGGCTCCCTGCTCTGGGAGCCCTGCTGGGAAGAGCTGAGGTGGCCTCAGATCGAGCTGGAGGCAGCGCTGGCCGAAGAAAGGACCCACCAGGGATTTATCAGAAAGTAAGTTGGCTGGCCCCGCTTTGGCCTTAGCACTGGGCAGGGGGAAGCGCGCCGGATTTAACGTCAGAGGAGCATTTCTTCCCTTCGCCTCTACGGTGTTACCGGGGACAATACTCTATCTAGCTACTTGTCGAGAGGGTCGTTTTTCTGCTCTGGACAATGAAGACAGTGTCGAGGATCTCTTCCGACTCGGAATCCTACAATCCTTCCCTCCTCCCCTCCCAGCCTTCCTTCAACGCTGCCCCCCATCCCCACCCCATGCCAGTTCTTACCAGAGGGACTGTTGTCCCCAGTGTTCCTGGATTTATTTTATGTGAGAGAAGCTTGGGGCCCTAGTGGATAGAGGACCAGCTAGGAAGGCACAATTTCGAGGCCTGTCTCCGACACATACTGACTGTGTGACCCGGGGCAAAGCTTAATTTCTTCGTGGTCTAGGGTCAAGGTCAATTTACTGTCTAGACTCGACGACTTCCAAGTTCCAAAGGAGCATTTGGGAGAGGGAGTGAGTCTCTTCATCTGGGAGTTCCCTTCCACGATGACGTGGTTCTCACAGGTGTGTTTGGGACAGCTCCTGTACCAATCCCTATGTTTTCTACTTCTCTAAGCGTCTGTTCTCTCCCCCCTACAGAACGTGAGCAATTCGAGAGCGGAGCAGAGCCTGTAACCGTAGCACCTAACACTATGCGTGGTCCTTAATAAATGCCGATTGACGGATTTAGTCAGTCTGACAGAGTTGGTATGGAGAAACTGAGGCTAAGAACCAGAGCTGA